ATTCACTTCCTTTCCTCCGTCATTCGCAGTGGTGTCAACCAATCACAATGCTTGCATGCAATGGAGCGATTCGATTGGCCCACTGGACTGTTTTGCCCAGAGAGTGGCTTTTGCGGACTAGGCATTGACCTAAATGCTGAGGCTGCTTCGGTCAAGACAACTGATGTTACTGAAGTTACTGAAGTTTGCCAGGTGTTCTTTGACAGAACACAGACCGATTGCGATAGCATTAGATCTTCTCTTTACGGAAATGGCATTCTGCGAGGTAAATGTTGCTGGTATTTCTTTGTACAATTAAGTTACATATCAAACTTTTATATTCGCGGTAGGGTTGCAGATAGTGTCTTTATAAGGTTTGAGGGTGTAAAAAAAGTTGAATTTCTCCGCGAAAAACTTCTGCGCACCGAACCACTATCTAAAAAAAATAGTTTTCTCGAAAAAATTTCATGTTACTTTTTAACTGTATGAAATTAATAGTTTTATGCTAATAGACTAATATAAAACTGGAGTTTGCGCTAGTTGGGTTGGTTTATGTATGAGGGGGACACCCATTTACAACCCCGCTATTGTTACATATATTAATGAAACTAAATTTAAGGGGACCGTGCGCCAAAAAAAAGTTTTCAAAGCATCGCACCAAAGCAAGTTATTTTTGTCTCGTCAGAGGAGCTCAGAAAATCAGTTTGGTCAACTTGAAAAAAATAGATATTTCAATGATACTTGCCAAAAATTGATTAAAATATTACTTTAGCGACTTGTAATTGCAGGTTTCATTACTGCATTGTTTATTATTCTCTTTTCAGTGAATGATTGGACTTGTATGAGTCATGGATTCGAGTTTTGCTTGAAAGAAAAGATGAAAGAGTGTGTCGATGTTCTCGGGGGGTTCAAGTGTGACGGATGCCTGCCAGGATCTGAGAAAGATCCATTGAGCAATCGACAATGCAGAGGTAAAAAGAAACGCGACAAAGCTAATAAACACGAGTTTTTTCGCAACAAAAAATGCATTGAAAGTATTCGAGAAATCAATATAGTGGACAAAACTAAGTGCAAAATTGTTTTTTTTTCTCTAAAATGACATTTAGGACAACATTTTCTTCGAAATTCCCTAAAATGTTCGTGTCGGCCAAGAGCAAATGGTCAGAGCTATACTCTATGAAATTGCAAAATTTGGTTTTGAAGACTTACCAACTTCCTCATGAGCACAAGTTTTTATATCATCTCAGTTTTTATCAAGCATTTGCTCATGCCTGAGTTAGATAAAATCCGTGGAGTTCCATGGTTAAAAATCGATTATAATTGAGTTTTCTTGTCAGTGTCCACAAAAAGGAAAACAAATTGATTTTGTTATTACTATTTTTTGAGGCAACAAAATCTTTTTTTTCATCCATTATAATCGATTTTTTTTTCATTTTTGTGGACACTGACAGTGAAACTAAATTATAATCGATTTTTTTCCACCTTACTGAGATGCGAATTTCAACGCACATAAAGTTGGAGGTGGACTAATCCTCCTTCAATTCCCCCGCTAGCATTTGTTTATTTACAACAGCCCCCCTCCCCGGGGGGTTCAGTGGGGAGGGGGCTTAACGGAATCTTTTTGCAATTTGAGTTTTGGTTTAGAAAAAGATTAGGCCGAACACTCGCTTTGCAAAGTTTCTACAAAACTCACTTGATAAATGCAGAATTTCTTGCGAAACTTTGCACGACGCGCGAAACAAAAATAAAGTGGAAAAAAATCCATTTTAATGTGATTTCCTACTTATTATAAAATCCATTATAATGGATATCAAATGAATTATATTGCGTTTTGTTTTGGCGAGAAAAAATGGATTTAACATGAAAATCGATTATTTTTACAACATTTTGACCACAAAAATCCATTATAACCGATTTGTTTCCACTTTTCTTAAATGCGGGTGGCCTACACAAAAAATTGTTTCTGAATTTTGAAGTAAATGTTGTCCAAAATGTACATCGAAAACAGGCTTTTTAGAGGTCAAAAACCTGATTTTGCGCTTATTTTGGCCACTAGTGTGGCAAGTTTACTTCAAAAACTTTTGAGTTCTTACAGTTCAAAGTATCCAATTCGTTGAGACAAAATAGATTTTTTAGCAAACTAATAAAAGAAATTTTTCACTTATTGCGGACTGACAATGATTTAATGGCCTGAACATAAAGTGCAAACAAGACTGCTGGCATCAGGGCGAAGCCCTGAAGGTTCCGAATACCTTTTAAGGTCTATGGAGCAGTAATAACATGAAAAATTTAATTGTGGTGAAATAAAATTTAAAAAAATATATAAAAAAATTTAAAATTTTTTGTGAAAACAACCCTCCACACGTCATAATAAGTACAAAGTGATAGAGTTTGCTCCTATAAACAAAGCAATTATAGAAAATAAGCTTGCTTGAACCAATTTGGAACAATTTTTCACACGGATTGAATCTCGCTTACGCGTTAATAGCGCGAAATATATTGCGCGTTAAATGTCCCAAATTGGCCAAAATAGAAATCTTTAAACCGCCATAACTTTACGAAAAATGATCACAAGTGAAAAACCTTTTTAAATTTAAGCTCAAGACAACAATAGTTTTCGAGTGATATAAAAAAAAATCCGTCAAAAATGGCTAGTTAAGAAGTCGAAAGTTGTCTGAAGAAAAAAAACCCACCCCGAGCACAAATATTCCGCTACTTTCGCTACAAAAGTCGGAACAAAAATTCTTAACTAAAGCTGCTGTATATATATTTTTTAATTTTCAAATTTTAAGAGCGTAATTAGGGTGCTAAGAGACAACTGGAGCTGAAACATGCTCTGAGGTCCCATGATTAACAATCAAAAATAAAGTTTTTCTAAACCTAGCGTAAAACTTTCAAACGCTACTTAGTATAATCAAAACTTATTATCTGAAATTGCGGTACACAATTGAACAGATGAAACAGAAATTATCATAATTCTCTTCTCCAGTTTTTTCTAAAATCATTTTTGTTTAACACATTTTAGGTTCTTGCTTCTAATTTTACGTGATGTAAAACTAACCCGTCGTAACAATAAATTAAAAGCCGCACAAGCATGTCATGAATAATAATCAGCTAAATTGTTTTTTCGTTGTTCGTCTCAATAAAACCTTACAAAATGACCATAACCTATTAGAAAGGAGTGAAATCTCAACTTTATTTGAATAAAAAAAAATCATTTTATTCGATTATAATCAATTAATTTGGGTTATAATTTTTGTTCGAAAAGTGTTCTGAATTTTCAACACAGTGCAGAATATTCAAAACTGAAACTGCTTTTGGTTTCATACACGTTACAACAGATAAAAAAGAAATTAACTTTGGCTTACACCAAATTATTGTTCCGGCTTTCGATACGAAAGTTACGGAATATTTGTGCTCGGGGTGGGTTTTTTTTTTCTTCAGACAAATTTCGACTTTTTAACTAGCCATTTTTGATGGATTTTTTAAATATCGTTATAAAGGTATTGTTGTCCTGAGCTCAAATTTGAAAAGATATTCGACCTGTGACCATTTTTCGTAAAGTTATGGGGGTTTAAAGGTTGCCATTTTGGCCAATTTGGGACAACTAACGCGCGATAGATTTCGCGCTATTAACGCTATCTGATCCGTCTTAAACTTGTTCTAAATTGGTTGAAAGAAGCTTATTTACCATAATTGATTTGTTGCAGGGGCGAAACCTATCCTTTTGTACTTTATATGGCGTGTAGGTGGATGATTTTCATTAAAAAAATTCAAATTTTAGAAAAAAAGATGTCATTTTTTTATTACATTAAATTTTTTAATGTTATTACTGCTCCATTAAACCTTAAAAGGCAGTCGGAACTTTCAGAACTTTGCTCTGATACGAGCAGTCTTGTTTATCTGGCTTTCAAGTTTTTCGTTCAAAATTCTTATCAAAAATGACAACCCCCACCAGCCTTCCCCCCTTATATCTCCTCGCTTACCTCCCCCACCCCGTTTAGCCTCCCCCCCCCCCGCCTTGAACCGGGAGAACGGATGAAAGTTAACTCATAAATGGAAAGGCAGAAGGTATCAAATTGACTAGGTTAAGATTTCGAGTAGGCCTAAGTAAATGCAGTTTGAATTAGAATCCATTATAATGGTTTTGAATGAAATTTATGGTCACGAAAGTAATCGATTATACTGAAAAACAAAATCGATTTCATGGTCAAATTTGAAAAAATAATTGATTATAAGGACAACATTTTTTCAATATTTCTCTATCATTATGATTATTATCGATTTTTACCTATGAAACTCCAGTGCAGTAATGACAAAAAACAAGCAGTAAAATTTTAAGGGGGTACCTGATGGGGGACCTGAGGGCCGGCAGCGGTTCAAAACTCTGAGATAAAGATTCGTCTACCCCAAACCCTCCCCCCATAAATACGACCCTGGTCTTAATCGGGTATATTTAATTAATCTATTTTAATATTGTTTTGAATTGGTCAAAAACTTTTTTAAAATTAATTTATAAATTATTTTGTTGTCTCACTCATTTTTACTTTTTCAAAAACTCAATTGCAATTTCGTAATTGGTTAGATTTTCTTGCTAAGCTCTCACTGCTTTCATTTTTTGTGAAGGGGGCAAGAGGAGGTGAGGCTGAGATCGTTTATATCATGTGACAGTGAGGGGGAATCGTGTGGCGTATGATCGTGGAGGGAGGTGGATCGTGCGGGAGGGTTAAGGGATGGTGAACACGTGGATGGTGATCTTAAAAAAATCATTTTTTGTGACCAAAATTTCATGACCAAAATTTACTCAATGAAAGCAACAATGTATTACAAAAAAGATCATGTTTCGTGCTATAAACACGTAAGCGGAGTTTTGATTCGTTTGATAAATTGTTTTAAATTGAATTGAGGCTTGCTAATTGGTTTATTTTATACTTTGCTAGTGTAAAAAAACTAAATTCGAAATTTGAATATCGCGTGAGGGGATAATTTGTAGAAAAACCTCAATTTTGTTCTATTATTTTTTGAAAAGTTGATCAATTTTTTCTAAAAAGAACACTGGTCTGGAGACAATAAAAAGCAGTCGGAAAATTCAGGGCTTCGCTTTGTTACCAGTAATCTTCTATTGGACTAAAAATCCATCACGTGGTCAAAATTTTGTCTCGATAATTGATTATTTAGAAAAATGTTTAGCAAACAAAAAAACCTATTTTAACAATACTGCTCGTATATCAGGGGAAAGACCTGAATGTTCCGACAACCTTTTATTCCATATTGAGTAGTTTTTTTGGGAAAAGAAAAACTATAAAATTTGAACAATATCAAAGATCAAAAGTGAACATTAATTGTGATTAATCAAAAGTGAGCTAGCCTCAATTCAATTTGGGACGATTTTGTTGTTTATGTTAAGAACTATTATTTCGATCGTCGAAAATTGATCGAATAAAAAAACCACGCCAAGCATAAATTTTCCGTTTTACGAAAAACTGAAGAAGAAATTTTAAATCATGATATTTCGGTGCTGAACTCTTATTGACAATTCTTATAATCAAATCAACAATTCTAAACATTTTGCTTTTATCTGTGCTGCATAAAATCTGGAAATGAATGATTCAAAAAAAATTCGATTATTCTGTGTAAAGTTTACAATGCGGGACCATTTTTTTTTGTTAATAATTACAGCGTTGGCAAAAAATTACAGCTCATTTCCAAAAATTATAATTAAGCACCGTTAAACATAATGTTCTATTTGCAATCTGTGATCATTAAAATTTAACAACGGTTCCTTGCGAAAAATCAAGGTACGTATTGAGTAGCCTAATCATGAGTTTGTAAAAATCATACACGCGGCTTTTTAAACTATGAGGCTTTCCTTACCTTTCTCAGATGTGGACGAATGCACTTTGAGTTTTTGTGGGGAGCACAATACAAGTTGTGCCAACTCAGATCTCAGCTACTTCTGTCAATGCGAACAAGGATTCAACTATGACGCAGACACTTACGGCTCTAAATGCGAAGGTTAACGAATCAAAAATAAACAAAAATGTAGTTCGATCAATCAGGGACAACATTTACTTTTAATCCATCTTTTTTGCATGGAATTTGCAAAATGATTAGGAAATAATTGATTTAAGGATGCTTTTTTTCTACTGTTACGCAAAAAAATTTTTTTTGAAGAAAACTGCACATCAAAATTGAATTTTTTGTTTATAACCATACAAAAACATTCAAGACAAACCATTTCGCAAAACATTTAACGCAAATTATTCAAATGATTTTCTCAAAAATGACAGTGGCGCACAAATTTTTCCGAAAACTGGCATCACACAATCGAAAAAAAAAGAACTTCTTTTTAGAAAAAAAAAATTGCCGCTCTGGTGTAAGTTTTGCAGTGAACCTCCATGGCTGCTAGCAATTATCTGTTTAGACGTCAATGAATGTGATGCAAATAAATGTGGTTCAAACTCGGTTAGCTGTACGAACACAGAAGGGGACTACAGCTGTGATTGTGAACTTGGATACCATTTCTCTGAAGATCCATATGGTTTAGCTTGTGAAGGTTAGGTCGTTATCTATTTCTCACTGAACAGTTCTTCTTAATGGTTGACTATTGAAGGAAAATTCATTTGAAACATTTAAAAACTCAGTTTAACTTTAGAACGATGTGATTGTATATCTTTTAATTTTTTTAAAAAAGGTATTGATTGTTTTTTTTCTCACATCGAAATTTTTGTATCCGCAGTTTTCAAACATCAAAACTATGTTTTAAAAATTTTAATTTTTAATTGTGACAACGTTGTGGAAATTATGTATTCAGAGTTTAGAACTGCAAGCGTATTTTAAGGGGCTGTGTTTCAACTATCATAAACTGCAATAAATGCCTTACAGCTCAATAACATTAAATACGAAAATAAATTTGATAAAAACGTAGACTAGGTATTAACTATGAGGTAGTGCTAACTTTCAAAAAATGTTAATTTTTATGTTTTGGAGTCATAAGCAACCTACATTGTTAAACATGGCAGCTCATAGCCAAACAACATGAACCTACACTAAACTGAACAAAAAAAGGAGGAACTAAATTCTCCGCTAAGAAAAGGAACTATTCAGTATCATGGATACTAGCTTGCAAGTGAAAACATAAGTGAAAGGCCCTTAGAAAAATTTTTAATAGAAATCCTGGAAATACTGCTTTTCACTAAACAATAACGAAATGCCATCTTTAAGAAAGAAGCTGATAAAAAAGGAAAAAACTGAATGCAATATGTAAGAAACATTAGAAACATAATCACGAAGATTCATTTTTGGGTGACTGAAACTATCGTTTTGGTGAAAGAGCCCTCTCCCAAACTTTTATCAAAAATTGCCACTGATTTTTTTTTCACATTATCGCCGGCATCAAAACACACTTTATCTGCACACTTTAAATATAAATTTAGATGTGGCAAGAGTAGTCATAAGTTTTGAAGAATTTCACAATTCTAAAAAACACTTTGTTTTGAATCTAACCACTGCGATTTAAACATTTATTATAGAAAGTAAAGAAAATCTAGACATGATAAAAAATTTTGTAATCAAGTTGTTTGTGCAAGCAACACCAAAGGAGCATAAAACTGCTATAAAAACGGATGGTTATTTTTCGCAATATGGTCTTAACAAGAATAAAACAGCTTAAATGAAATTCAAGATACATATTAAGAATACCTTGACCTTAAAAAATCTAGAAGTTTTGATTTTTCAACAGACTTAACAATTTTAATGGTTTATTCGAATTAACTGTCAGTAGAAACGGTAAGTACACTAATAATCAGATCTTAAAAACCATTCCTCGGTTTTTCCCCCGTGAAAAAATCCGGCAATTTATTCAGGTTTTAATTTAAATTTGCGCGGTTTGATTATTGATTTTGACTAGAACAATTTATCGATTGGATGGGTAATTCATTTTTTCAAACTCAAAACAAAAACTGAAAAATTCAGATTTTTTTTACAAGAGAATCATTTCCAAAGCTTTGTGACCAGATGAAAAAAGTTTTATCGCTGTTTTTTTTTCTAATTAACCTCAATTTTAGAATAGAACAACTTGAAATAGTGATTTTGTGCTGACAATCTTAGCACCAAATTTTTTTAAGCAAACCTTTTTAAATCACTGAGTTTTCAAAAACTGTTAATTGGTAAGACTTCAACGTTTTTTTTGTCTTGTGATTCTCGCTTTCATGATGATATATTACAGCGAGGCAAAAATACATCTAAACCAATTTAAAAAAAATTTGATCCAGTAAGCTCTCAAATTTTCAAATAACCGAGAAAAAAATGTTCGAGGCCGCCGCTGCATTTGAAAACAATTTAGAATATTTTTGATCTTCATCTCTGCCTTTAAAAATATTGTGAAAAGAAAACAACTGTTTCATTTTTCCTAGACGTAAATGAATGCAGTACTCAAAACTATTGTGGCAGCAATTCTGACTGTGCAAATTTGCCTGGATCATATAGCTGTGTCTGCAACAATGGTTTCTTTTCTCAATCTGGATCCAATAAAGATTGTACAGGTGAAATGGTTATCCTGATAAAACTATTTGATAATATAATCCTCAAAAGATGTCCAATTTTATCAGCTCTTACTTTTTCGATGTATCAGGGAAAAATTACCTTCAAAAACAGAAGTTTCACTTTTTCTAGACGTGAATGAATGCAGTATACAAAATATTTGTGGTAACAATTCTGAGTGTACAAACTCACCCGGAACATATAGCTGTCTGTGCCACAGTGGTTACTTTTCTGAAACTGGATCCAACAAAGATTGTACAGGTGAAACGATGTTATATTTTGATGTTATCAAGTGATCTAATATTTCTCAGGTGAGTAATATGATGTTTTATTTCCCCAAAAGTGTCCAGCGTTATCAATTCCTATTTCAAATAATCAAGGCAAGTCCATTCTGAAACCTACCGCTGCATCTTAAAACAGTTTAGACATTTTGTTCTTCTTATCTGCCTTTAAACTTTTTGTGAAAAGATAACAAATTTTCGTTTTTTTCCTAGACGTAAATGAATGCAGTACTCAAAACTATTGTGGCAGCAATTCTGACTGTGCAAATTTGCCTGGATCATATAGCTGTGTCTGCAACAATGGTTTCTTTTCTCAATCTGGATCCAATAAAGATTGTACAGGTGAAATTGTTATCCTGATAAAACTATTTGTGATATAATCCTCATAAAGATGTCCAACTTTATCAGCTCTTACTTTTTCGATGTATCAGGGAAAAATTACCTTCAAAAAAAAACCGCTGCATTTAAATTCAGCTTAGACCAAATTCGAATTTTATCTCTGTATTTAATTTTACTGTGAAAAGAAAACAGAAGTTTCACTTTTTCTAGACGTGAATGAATGCAGTATACAAAATATTTGTGGTAACAATTCTGAGTGTACAAACTCACCCGGAACACATAGCTGTCTGTGCCACAGTGGTTACTTTTCTGATACCGGATCCAACAAAGATTGTACAGGTGAAGCGATCTTATATTTTGATGTTATTAAGTGATCTAATATTTCTCAGGTGAGTAATATGATGTTTTATTTCCCGAAAAGTGTCCAGCGTTATCAATTCCTATTTCGAATAATCAAGGAAAGTCCATTCTGAAACATACCGCTGCATCTTAAAACAGTTTAGACATTTTGTTCTTCTTATCTGCCTTTAAACTTTTTGTGAAAAGATAACAAATTTTCGTTTTTTTTCTAGACGTAAATGAATGCAGTACGCAAAACTTTTGTGGCAGCAATTCTGACTGTGCAAATTTGCCTGGAGCATATAGCTGTCTGTGCAACAATGGTTTCTTTTCTCAATCTGGATCCAACAAAGATTGTACAGGTGAAACTATATTATATTCTGATGTTACTAGTAGAGCTTATTTTTCCATAAAATTGTCAGAAGAAACATGAGGTTTTATTCTCAAAAATTGAAAGATGTATTATATGATGTTAGGTTAATCAGCAACTCATACATTACTGGGATGTTCTCCATCGTCCACTTTTGTTGTATTTGTATATTTTTCCCATTGCCCAACTATCAATCTAAACTGTTGCTTCTATCTCGAGGTATATGGTAGCAGATGATTTTCAAAACTGATGAGTTTTTAAAACTGGAAAAATGGCTTTTTGCTAACTTTTACATTCGTTTGAAACAAAATTATTTTGAAGATCTTTTCAGCTTTTGAAGTTTAATTTTTTTAATAATTTTTTCCATTTTCTACTGGTTCATGGTGAAAAAAGCTAAAAGTCTTTTTTGCTAAAAAGCTACCAACGAATGTTTGATGTCAATTCGTTTCTACTGAAAAGACGTTTTGGAGGTTTCATAAACGCTATAATGTAGTTGTCTCTTCCCTCTCCCACTTCTCTTTTTCCTGATAGTTGTTAAATTTTAAGCATTTTAACTCAGGTCAAACTTTTTTGAACGATGGATTCATAATTACTACATTTCTTTTTTCATAAATTGACTGCCATCAATTACTGAATTCCAACATGAACTATTTTGAATTTCAACAAAAATTGTTTTGTTTAGAAAAACTATTTTGTTTTTCAGATGTTAACGAATGCAATGACCAAAGTGTTTGTGGAAGCAACTCTGAGTGTACGAATGTTCCCGGAACCTTCAATTGCCAGTGTAACGAAGGCTATTTTTCGCAATCTGGATCTAACAACGATTGTACAGGTTAGGTGTTGTATTAATTTTTTCGAAAACATTTTGATTCGATTAAAACCAAAAACATTTTCGATAGCTCCAATTAAAAGTTAGAATCTAAAAAATAAAAAAAAATTGTATTCTAACAATCCCAACCAAATTTTGCTCAGTGTTAAGTATTCAGTCACTAGCTAGTTCTGGAAACTATATGTTGTTTTTTTTTTGTTTGGATTCAAGCTGACTCATTGTTTTTCTATGTATATATTTTTATTGTTCTGTTCAAATTTAGCTTTTCGAAACCTTTGAAGTTTAAAATTCAAATGATTTACTAATTGTTTTCAATACAGACTTTAAGAATATTTTTTACATTGAAAGATATTTTCAATTTAAAGATAAAACCCAGCATGTTGAATTTAGGTTGAATTACTTCGTAGAATATTTGACACCTTAAGAATGCAGGGAGTTCAAAAATTTTTCTTGGTGCATCACTCAGTGCCTAAGTTACCAGTGACTTATTGCTGCCTGTACCGAAGCTTTTTCTTCCAACCCAAGAAAAAAAGGTCCAAAATAGGAGTACTAATTAAACAACATTTACAGCAACTCTTTTTCACTATATCTGACATGGATTTTTTGAGCTATTCAATCTTGAACTTACATCACTGGGTGGAGATTGTTATGATATTTTCTTGTCTGCACGCATGAAACAAAATTATACTTTAATATTCATAAACTCTGTAAGCAGATGTCAAACCCGCTGCTTCGTCAATTACATTTGACTACTTTGCGTATGGGCCACTTCGAGACTTCTCATGAGCTCTTTGGATCTTTGCTGATGGATTTGATAGGATTTGTTGTCTTAGCAGCAAAAGACTTTTCTACAGAGCAGAAAGTCTCAGTGCATGAGAATTCCTTTTCAATAAATTCAGTTTTTAGTGTTTTTTCTACAAGTTTCTGTCACTTTAAAAAACGTGTAGATTTTATGAAAAAATTCATTTGTGCAACAGATAATTGCTAATTTGAGAAAAAAGTATCCAAGTTTTGATTTTTTGATTTTTTATTTTTTGTCATGAGAGAATCAGACTTTTTTTGCAATGTTGCTAAAGTTGGAATGATTGCATTGGTTGTTTTCTTCCTACTTTAAGAATTTTTCCAAAGTAGTCTTTTTGTTTTATTTCTTTTAATTCACAAAAATTTTCATCTATCCCACTCAGATGCAAGCTCTGTCATAACTTGAAATTTTTCATGCCTGCTGCTCGTCGAGGCCACCAATTCTCAAATTCTCGTAGTCGGCAAGTTTTTTACTTAGGGGACTGTAGTCTATGGGAAGGTTGGAAAAAATTAAGAAATTGTTGAATTAAAAACTTTGCTTGATTTTTTTTTCAAAATCAAGGTTTAATCATTACAATTTTTTCTCCGATTTTTTATTGCTTTTATCTTTGTACTTCAAGTTTTTTGTTGAACAATTCTTTCCTCGCTCTTTCAGTTGCTCAAAGTTTTTTTAAATCGCACCTCACGGTTGTTTTTTGTAAAGGAATTTTTATTCTGAAGACCAGCCTCCAGCTGGTTTGACCTAGTACAAAATCGATGATGAGGTTCTTGTGGTTTCTCATTTTTTGAAAAAAAAACCGGCCCATCAATTACATAAAAGATTAAGAAACGGATCTCGTACCATGATCTTCTACTCAAAATAGCCAACAATTCAGAAGTTGGTCTCCTCAATAACTGCAGCATTAAGTCTTTCTATTTTTGGAAGATTGCTTTTCGAAGGTTGTATACTTTGAGTAAATATGCCTCATTCGCTTCTTGTAACTTGAAAGATTTTGATTGGAGTTTTCTGCTTTTTTGAAGAAACAGTTAAATCGGGGACAATGAGAAGGTCGTAATTTAGTTTTAAAATATTTTTTTTATTGATTAAGACATCGAATCTAATATTATGAAAAAAATCAGATTGGTTAGACCTACGCATCTGAGTTGTGCATAATCTCGCCTGCTTATTTTTCAAGTCAACTATTATCAACTACTCTTTGTTTTAAAAAGTCAAATCTTCACTCGATTGTTTTCTCTGTTCAAAACAACCATGAGGTTTTTGGTGAAGTTTTTAACTGGTGCAGTCAGAATATTTTTTTAGGTTAGTTTAACTTCTCAACTCAATTCTGCCACGAATGAAATCATACGAGTGGTATTTTTTGTGCAAAGGAGAAATTAAGAGGTAAGGGCACATCCTTGAGAAATGGCGTGGACCATTACGAGGCCAAACTGTGCATTTTGTGCATTGTAAGCCGATTTCGCAACAAGAACGCTCCCTTTGTTCTTCTTCTTTTGTTCTTTATTTTCCTTTGATTGTTCCGACAAAATTTTAACAGGTTTAAAGACTTGTCTCTGGAAGCCAGGAACATACAGACACAAAATTGTGCACCTATCCAGTGCACAGTTTGGCCTCGTAATGACACAAGCACATAAATGAATGAAGTAACCGGGAACCGGAAAACAATCATGAGAGTCCCAAAACAACTTCAATGCAACCTACTGGATGAATTCCTCTTTACTAGCGAATAAATAAGATTAGTTGTAAAAAAAACACGTTGACAAAAAGGATGAGTTCATAGAAGCTACCATGGTACTACGAACACAACCAAAAAATATTGAGAAATTAAAATGCAAAAAATCAATATTTTTGGTTTATGGAAAATTGCTAGTTATACAATTTCCATATATGAAAAAATACTAATCATAGACCTTTCATGCAATTTTCTGTACGTATGGAACTGCATGGAAAGTGTATGACTAGCATTTTTCCATATATGGAAATTGTATGACTAGTATTTTTGGTCATCCCGAGCACTGATGTGAGCAGCCTTTTAGGAGATTCAATATCAATGGAAGCTAATTCAGCCTTGGGTTAAACTGGGAACTTCTAGAACTTGACAACTCTTTGATTTGAGCAACTATTTTTGTTTTATTGAAAATTAAATTTTTTCTTAGTTCTGAAAAAGTGAGTTTCACAAAGCGACCAAAAACAATTTTTACTGCTCTTTAAAAAAACTTAAAAAATAATTTTAAAAATTAAACTATAGTTGTGATCATTTCCAATTTTGTAAACAGTTTCTGTTTTTTGGTTTACGCTACGAGAAATTTTTTTTTTAAAAATATTTCATTTTAGAAAAAAGTTGGAAATTTTTATTGGTTTTAGTTTCAACCTAAATCAATTATGGTCTAGAAAAACATAACTGATCTAAGCTAAAATAACCACTACGATTTTACTCCCCTAACTTATCTTATCTTACTTGTTTTCGGTTTTGTGAAAATATCATAATGAATAACCAGTTAGTTCCCTAGTGCTTAAAAAAAATTTCGTTCCTAAACAAACATTGCATGAGATTGATTAAATAATATCGAACTTTTCGTTATAAAACTTCAAATGTTATCACTTCTAAACGAACCTTGTCGAATTGACTTTGATGGCAAGAAAAAAAAACAGACGGTTCGGGCAAATATATTTGTTTTTCAAAATATAATTTAAATATTGCTTAGGGTTTTGTAAAATTCTGGACATAGTTTTTTTCAGACAAATTTTTCTCATATTTTTGTGTAAGCTAAAATTTCTTTTCTTCTATAACATAAAAAAGCACAGAGGTCGTTCAGTCACAAAAAAAAAGAAAAAACCAAAAAAACATCGATACGTTCAACCAAAGTATGGCATAAGAACAGTGAAGGAATAAAAACTTCTGCCTACGGAATCAATCAGACAAGATGTCGAGTGCGGTCTTTTTGGATTGTATAGAAAATTCAATCCAAGTTGACCGTACCCAAACTCTTTTCTGATTGACTCAGTAGGCAGAACTTTTCATTCCTTTACTGTACTTCTGCCCAATTTTGACTGAACGTACAGATGTTTTTTGAGTTTCTTTTTCCGTTTTTTGTAATTGACCAACCAGCAAATGTGTGCTTTTTTGGCTGATAATATCTTTATTGAGTTTTAATCTGATATCAATGAAGAAAAAATATATATAAGGTTAAACAAAGTTTTGAAAAAAAAATTTGTCCAAAAAAATATGAGGAGAATTATATAAAGCCCTAAGCAATATTTAAATATAAATAAAAACAATTTTGCCCGCATGGTCTGTTTTTCCCTGCCACGAAAATCATTTGTAAATTAAATTAATATGGCTGGTATAAAAGTGAAAATATTTGAATTGAACTTTCTATACGAGAAGGCCTGATCACAGAGAAATTGAGCATCCTCAGTAACCGATACAATGAATCTATCTAGTGTTTTAACAAACGTTTCTTGAGGGGTATAAAGTTTTGATGAATATGTCTCAATCGCTCCCTGTAACTTGGAAGAGGGCTGTTAAAACTGTCTGACCTGGGACCTTGTAAACGTTCGAAGAAACTATCAATTTCATTTGTGTGAGCAATACGATTAATGAGAATCAGCAACTTGCTGTTTTGTCAAATGTATCAAAATTTTGTCAGATTTCGTCTGCTGCATTTTTTACTTGTTGATATCAGAAACATTTAGAAAGATGTTCATTTAGACTATTCCCTCAACCCTGACAAGTCTTTGACGCAATTTCCTTACTTTTTGGGCCAAAATAACGTATCGAAGAAATTTTCAAAAAGATTCAAATTATGAGCTTTGAGACTCTCAGAACGAGGAATGCTTGTAATAATACAGCACAAAAAACGAGAAAAATAATCGGTCAGTTGATTTTCGGTTTTTGAAAATTGTTTTTAGTTTAAAGGTTCAGATGAAACAGAGTCCTTATTAACATTAAGAAACACTAGAGCCTATGAAACCTAAGTAGTAAATGTTGGTGCAATTCATTCCAGGCCTCAAAATTACCTTCATTTTTTAAGATAGTAAATAAGTTTTCCCGTGTTTTAGGATAGGAAATAAGTTTCCTCAAGTAATGAGTTAGAGAATAGGATTCCAATATATCAAAAAAGGTTGTAGGTTTCAGTTTTTTTGACGGTAAGTTTGCTTAAAATATTAAATTTTGTCAATTTTTTAGTTTGACAAAACAGCTTCGTTTGAAACTTTTTTACCAGCGTTAATGACATATGCTTTAAAAATTATAGATTTTTTGATATTTTAAATTGGAAAAAAAACCATTCAAAAACAGTAGTCTGCGATTTGTTAATCTAGTTTTACTCAACTTTACTTCAAAATGTTTTTCAAAATTAAAGGTTAAGAACGCATTTTATAGTATTTGTCTTTTCATAAAAGGTAGAAATAGCTCAGTCATTTTTTAAGTTGTTCATAAGCTGCACCATCTTGGTTAAAATTTTTAGATACTCTTTTAGTTGACTTTTGATTCACTTTATTCAGATTTTTGGAAATGAAAATGCTTTTAAACATGCTTTAAAGCGATCTAGACAGTAACTTGTCCTCTTTCAATCCATTCATCTCGTTTGCTGGCAAGGATAACTCCTTTTGATATTTTATCCGCCAAAGCCAAATAGAGAGAATCGGTGTTCTCTATTTGGTAATCTGTAGCAAAACAAATCTCTTATCATTGATTCATATATTTCCCAACATCGTTTCTGGTGAGAAGAAAAATTGTACTAATAGGCGGAATATTGAACAATTTGGCTTTAAGCTCATCTGGAACATTGAGATTGCGTAGCATGTAGACGTGTTGTTTCGTGTAAAATATTTTGCAAGTTTCAACTGTAAGAAAATGGTTTCTAAAGTGTTTTCAAATTTGTAGCAACAATTACAATCCCACATTTCTTCAATTCTGCTATGGAATATCCTTTTTTTCTGAATGTATATTTTCCTTTTTCTTCCAACTAATCCAGAAAAATGATTCGGTTCAAGCAAACAAGCGTCAGCAAGCAAATTTTGGTTAAAAGAGAAGAAAAAACAATATCAGCAGTTGGAAAAACTGTTATTCACGAGGTTGAAAAGATTGAGATGGTAGCATACTTAATACAATGAAAGGTATGGCGTTGTAACTTAGATAAATACTTTGACATAGCAATTTCGACAAAGCAGCTGAGACATTTTTAGCTCTGTATGTTAATCAAGAAGTACAAATGTCAAGAGGCCGTCATACAATCATAATTGCGTTTCTTGCAAAGGCACGAAATATACAAAGGCACGATACTAGTCTCAGCCAACCATACTTCAAACGCTTTCAAAGAAATGTCAAAATAATTGGGAGATTTTGTTTGCCGAGGGTGTCAATGTAAAAAAAAAGTGATTAATTTCAGTCTAGATTTGTGATTAAATCTTTCATCCTCTTAAGCTTTTTACATTTGAATCTTAAATTAAAGCAGTGTGACTTGGATTATTCGTTTGTAAAAAAAATTGATTTTCATAATATCAGAAAAACTGGGATTTTTTTATTTTGCTTTGCAAAAAGCTCCATTTTTTTCAAAATTGGCTGCACTTCAGCTAACTCAGTGTTGAGAAGCTACTAAACAACGTCCTACTCTCTTTCATGAGTGTTGCCGTCGTTCAAGATTGCTGAAAAAATTATCCTCCAGCAGTAGCTGCTTTCCATCGAGATTGTAGGGAATATGAAACCACTCGCATAGAGAGTATCTATTTATTTCACTGGTTTTGTACGCTATAAGGAACGAGTCTAAACTAGAAACTCCACTCAAACGATTTGCCAGAAGTTCATTATCAATATAACTAAAAGTAACAAAATCAATGGTTTTCTTGATAACTGTAGGTCAGTTTTCTTCACATTGATTACGAAAAATAAAATAAGATTTGAGGTATATTGTTTTTCGAATTGCAAAAAAAATCATTTAACTGAGTTTTGAAGCTGCAAAAGTGAGTAGATCCATCTGTTTTTTCCTCATCCTCTATGCAATCGTCTTCGTATTCACTGGCTTCAGTTTGCCTTATTTCTTAATGGTGCTGTAAGTTGTGCTTTTTCGCATTGTTCTAAGGTCACACTCTTCTGAATTTGTATCGCACCTCTTTAGGCAAGATTTCCAGTTTGCCACAAACTCAATATTGAGGGTTGTGGATCTTTTTTGATACAGTTTTAGGAATATCATTTTTTTTGTCGTATAAAAATGTTGTCTATAAAAATATTTGTCTAGTGAATAAAAATTTTTTGAGCTTTTTAAATTATGAAATCTCAATATTAATTATTGATACCGTGATTGTAATTTTTTTTACTTCTTTCTCAACTATTTGTAAGTTATCCATGGAAAACCTACAAAGTTTTTTGGAACATGACAATACCACGGGTTTGTATTAAATTGTTTGAAGACTTTGTTTTGGGTTGTTTCTAGTTTAGTTGTCCCATTTAGTGAGCTGCAACTCCTCGAAACAAACACTTTCTATGTCATTCTATGATTGTTTGATGGCGTGTTGGGGGGATGCTTTTCTCAAAAAAGAGAAAAAACTACCCCTAACACAAATATTCCGTTACTTTCGTTACGAGAGCGATACAGCAGTTTTCTAATGTCTAGAGATGCGGCCGAGAAAAGGAAACTTCCAGGCAATAGTTCATAGAAGATTTGTCTATAGTATGATTTTGGAATTGTCTATTCACATGAGAAAGTAAAACAAGACTGCTCGTATCAGGGCGAAGCCCTGAATGTTAACATTAAAAAAATTCAATGAAATAAAACAAAATGAAAAAAAAAAATTTCAAAAATTTGGAATTTTTTATGAAAATCATCCCCCCACACGCCATATAAAGTACCAAAAGAGAAATTTCGTTCCTTGTAACAAACCAATTATGGCAAATAAGCTTCTTTTAACCAATTTGGAACGATTTCTAAGACGGATTAAATCTCGGCTTACGCGTTAATAGCGCGAAATATATCGAGCGTTAATTGTCCCAAACTGGTCAAAATCGCAATCTTCAAACCCCCATAACTTTACGAAAAATGATCACAGGTGAAATATCTTTTCAAATTTGAGCTCAGGACAACAATATCTTTCGAATGATATAAAAAGATTTCGTCAAAAATGGCTAGGTAAAAAGTCGAAATTTGTCTGAAGAAAAAAAACCCACCCCGAGCACAAAATATTCCGTTACTTTCGTATCAATTGTCGAAACAATTATCTGGTGCGAAAAAAATCTAACTAAAGACATAATTGGAAAATTGCAGCATTTACAGGTAGCAAAAAAATTACAGGCAGAAAAAAAAAACGAGGCAAACTGTGAAAACCAAAAACTGAAAAACGTAGATATATACTAATTTTTTTTTGCAATTTCGATGCGATAAAAACACAAAGAGCTGGAAACACAAAGAGTTTGAATCTATCATCGGCAAACGAAGATGGAAACGATATTGTTCTAGTTGCTTAAAAATCTTTCAATTTATGCAACTTGCCAAAGTGACATCAGATATGACTTCAGACCTATTATCAAGTGGAGTTTTTCCCGGGTATGTGCTTCGCGGAATATAAAAAAACCATAAGCGAGAAGCGGGTTGAATCCCTTAATTGTTTCGTTGAACTGAAAGGCTTAATGCAAAACAATTTGTTGTTATAACACTGTAACAGGAGCAATTGCATCAATTCTACAAAAAAACCCGAATGACACTTGAATCTTCATATTTTTAATTCTGTTAGAAAATTTATGAAAATTAGCGGTATAATTTCACGAAAATAAACTTATGCAGCAAGTTTAGTTTGGGATGTAATAATCTAATCATTGAAATTTCAAGTTTTTTAGAACAGAATTTATTTTTTTCGATTTTTCAGTGGATTTTGTAGCCTTTTTCACATCGTTTCTGATAATTAGATTCTAGAGTTTTTGATAGCTAGATTCTAAACAATTTATCTGAGAAAACAAACAGTAGAAAAAACTCTTCTTCTATGCAAAAGCTACGCAAAAAAGTCTCCTTGAGTTTACCTTTTGGACATCTTGACTTTCAATTTTTAAAAACTCAAAAATTATTCCAAAAGAATCTGTTTTCATTCCACTTTCTTACCATTGGGCAAACTAAATCCTCACAATTTTGCCTTAAGCTAATATTGCAAAATCCCTCACATGCCCGATATCTTTAGCGCGCCCGATGATCTTAAGCGCTTTTTTTAATCCTATTTAATCTTATAGCGGGGTCCACCAACCCCGCCATAGGGTTAGCAACAACATTCCTATAGCGAGTAGTAATTTATTTTCAATTCCAGCATTATATACTCAAACTGACAAATGATTCTCATCAGTTAAGCGAAGAGCTCAATTCAATTTTTTAGACGTGAATGAATGCAATACACCGGGTGTTTGTGGAACCAACTCCGAGTGTGTGAATTTGCCTGGAGCATACAACTGCCAGTGCAACGATGGCTATTTTTCAGAATCTGGGGACAACAAAGATTGCACAGGTTAATTATTTTAATTTATCCACAACCAGCCTGTACTGGAGTTTCATGGATAGTTATATTGGTTTTCAGTTGTAAAGTCATTCTCAATAAAAAGGTCATCAATTATAACCGATCAAAACAGGTATTAAAATCTAATTTTTTTTCCAAATCCAGAATTATTGATTTGGAAAAACAAATAAGATTTTAATACCTGTGGAAAATTACTTATTGGGTTATGACCTTTTGGTTATACTCATAGAGTAATTTGAAATAAGGCACACCGTCTGCTCGTCACGATATCTTATTTTTGGCCGGATAGATTCGTGCAACTTCTTAGTCTAATACCAATCTTAATCTTACTCTTATATCTCCTAGTCTCAATAGATCTAGTGTATACTGGCTTGCGCGGGTCCGTTTCTCTGTAGTAGGCAATTATATTCTAAGTTTAATTCAAATTGCTCTGGTGCTGAAACTACAAGTAGTTTCAGCACTTACAAAAAAGTGGGTTGTTAGTTGATGGAGTATGATTGGTTAGTATTGGATATTTTATAGATATAAAAATCATAATAATAACCAAAAACAAAGTCCAGTTTAGACCTGGTTCCACCTATCCGGGTCTTAGAGAGTTTTTGTTTTCTAATGGTCCAATGTAGTGGATGGTGGATGACGCTGTTTTTCTTTTAGAAGTTGCGAGCATTTGATTTCTCTGATTAGGGAGAAGGGCCGTTATCCGGATTTGGACGAATTAGAATCGTGGTTATGTACTTGTTGTTAAGTTGTTGTCATTGATCGCAACAGATCTGAGGTCGTATCGAGACTTCTGATCGGTTGCAATGAGGTGCTTATTTGGTTAAGTAGAGAGCGACAGTGCTCCAGCCCAGTTTGGATATAGCATGAAGTTTGACTTTCGTGTGAAGTTACTAGTGATTTGGATATGTACGCGTACTCAACATCGAGATGTCCATTGGTTTGTTTCAATGGGTTTCTTTTGCTGCGATGCCAAGTCGTACTTTAAATCTTTTGATTGTAGCGACTGTAGGCAGCAAATCGAGTGTGTTTGCCACTACGTAGTTGGAGTGTGATTGGGTTGTCAACTTCCTTGCTGCTCGTCTTTGGGCTGTATGAGATCTATATACTGCATTGTATTATTTACTTATACAAATCTTTGTTAATTTCGTTTTTAGTTATGATCTTGTATTAGTAGTTATCGCAAAAGCGTTTTTGTTTTAATTCGGTTATTTTTAAGAGTCACTCACCCTTGAGTAACTCTTGTCAAAAATAAGAGTGTGGTCATAAAGCGTGGCTGTAGCACAGTGGGTTAGGCCGGCTATAGAGCATGCTCATGAAGTTCTCTCTGGTGGGTTAGGCTAGGAGTGGAATATAATTTCATGCTCTCGTTTTGTCGAGTCTTTTCTGTGTTCAACCTTTTATGCCTTTTTGTTACTGGAAAAAAGTTTTCAGTTTTTTATTTCGTTTTTCTTTTTTGTAGATGATTGTGGGTGATCGTGCGGTGAAGACTAGAGAAAAAGGGAAAACATTTATAGAGAATAGTTAGTTTTGTTCTAATTTGTTTGTATAATTTATTTAATTCATATTTACCTTAATCATCTGCGAAGAATCCATGGTGAAAACATCGTGGATGATATCCGATGATGTTAGTAGTTTAGCTATTAAGCGAATGATATATTTATTTTGGAGAAGTGGACAAAGCAATTCGAGTGCTTTAATGATTTTGTGTTCTTCAGTGTTAGTTGAGAACTCATATGGTTTATTTTGGATGAGGTTACAAAGTTTGTAGTTACATTTGGTGTTATGGATGAGTTCTAGGATCGAGACTTCGACGGGCTGTAGAGAATTTGTGTGGGACAATTAGTGGGCGGGATTCGTCTACGTTGAAGGTCTTGGTTAAGGGGCAGAATACAAACATCTGGGTGATGGGATTATAATTGCGGAGATGCCTTGTAGTTTAGTAATTTTAATGCAACAAGTGAAGTTGAGAACGAATGGTATATTTGGAGTTAAAGTATTGAAATATCTGATGAATTTGTTGGGATGGTGTGTTATGAGTGTAATGATGTTGGATGAATTTATGGTAAGTGTAAGTGTGCGTTTGCTTAGTACGTAACATTATGTCGTGTGAACAGTGCAAATCACGTTCTTTGGGTGTGAGGAAATGAAAAGTAAGTGAAAAGTTGTTAAATTTGTTAAATTATGAGTCATAAGCTTGGTTGTCACAAAGTGCTGCTGAAATCACGTGATCGTACTTGTTATCCAGAGCATTGAGGCTGAAAACGTATTATGTTTTAATGAAAAATTTTTCTGTTAGTTGAGGGTTAGCATTTCTATCAGTATCTAAGGAGGTGTATTCATTTGCTCTCATAATATGATGATCTTAGTGATCGATGGAATACTGATTAGATTTGGGTCCGGTGAATCTAATAAGTGACTGTTGATATCCGATTTGAATAAATTGTTTTGGAGAGAGAGCTGTTGTTAAATGGTAGAGTTGAGTGCTGCATTGTTCATTATCATAGGGGTGTTGTATAGTGGAAGTGACAGTGGATTAGTACAGAGATAAAATGATTTCCATGAAAGTGTTGGGTATAATACGTGTTCATTTACACAGTTAGGTTATTCATTGTTAGGGTCTGAGTAAAAATAAAAGTATTGTCGGAAAAGGGTTAACATACATGAAGAAATTTTTTGGTGTTAGTGTGAAGTGGATGTTTTACGATTGATTGGGCTGATTGAGAGTGAGACGGAAATGGGGTATGGGGGAATTTTCTTTTAAGGGTTCTATGGGCTCGGTTTGTAGTCGAGGGAGTTGGGTTTGACGAAGGAGTTGGGGTTGATGGGTTCGATGATGTTATGGAATGTCAGAGTTGGTGAATGGTTAGTCTTTGAGGGTCGTGGGTGTTACGTCAGTAAGGCAAGACGGAGTGGAAGGAGGTTCAATTTTTATTTGACAATGAAGAGGTTGACGAGGGGGTTGGGAAAATGTAGATGGGCTGGGTTCTGAGTTGGCAAATTTGTCAGGGGTTTCGATGTTTGAATTGTTAAATTGGGAAATAGTGTTATATACAGTGGTGTTGGAATTAGTATCTGAATCCATGCTGGATGAACTGTTAGCATGAGATGATCCAGGTGAGGGAAAGCAAAAAGTAGTATGACAGGAAAATTGCTTCGAATGTTGGCTGGATAAGAAATTGAGCGATGGAGTGATCCAATTTGGCGGCTCATCGTGGGCTAAAAATATGATTGTTCTGAGAACAAAAATTTGTTATGTGTGGCTGTTCTATGATTTGTTCATATGTTTCGTCTATATTCAGTCGGTTTTAGACTGTGTGTAATCGCGTTTTGTTGGTAACTATGTCTTGAAGAGATGTGCTCTGTCAGGGCTATATTTCTAAAATTTTGTGATACTAAGGATAATGGATGATTATGACTTATTGTTTGTAATTGTGGTGTAGTAGGCGTTGTATTTTTTTGTATTGTTTTGAGAATCCTTATATGTATTCGGTGTTGTTGATAGTTTGTATTGTATTCTTTTAATTGAGCGTCTAAAAGTATTTTATTAATAGATGTGGAAGAAATTCCAAAAAATCCTGCAAAAATTATGCGTGCTACGCTGCCTTGTTTGTTTACTTGTATATGTATTGCGCGCGTATTATAGATTCCTTTTAGTATTGACAGAAAGAAATCCAATAAAATTAAACATTGCGTGTAATATAGTCAATCTTTCAAAGATGTAATGAGGCCATCATAGAAAGGCAAGAAGTTCGTTTTTCAAAGTTACGAAACTGAGAATGTTTAAAATATCCTGTGGTCTATGTTTTTCCTCATTTAAACAAATGTAATCTTTGATGTCCTTAAAATATCCGCCGTAGTTTTGTGCGTAAATTTCTGAAAAGCCTGTTGCTTCTGCAAGTTTACGTGAGTTTTGATCTATGGATTGTCGCTGTATGGTGTCCATTTTTGTGATTAGTTCTTGAAATTGTTGTGTACTGATGTCATGTTGAATGTCTGATTGAGAGTATATACATATTGACTGTGTTTCATTGTTGGGGTTTCGGGCAATTGCTCTAATACTTTTTTGTGAAAACTTCTTTAATGGTTGCATAAGTGTAGGATATGGTGTGAGAAGGTAATATTTATCTTCATCAAGATTTAATTGTACTACATTGTGGCTGTTTTCTGAACCACATGGGACGGCTGTATCCCAAAAATAAGTTCTGCGTGAGAGTGTGTAAACAAAATATACTTAATTTTTTTAATAGAATATGGGAACTCTCTTATTACATCTTTTATCTTCAAAAACATATAATGGTGATACTTTTTTGGTACAAGTGTAATACCATAGTATCTTTCCTTCTTAGTCAATAAAATTTTATCTTTTTCCTGATAATAAATATCCTGCATAAGGAATTTTCAATACTACAAGTGCAAAAGATTGTAAAATTTGTGTTCTCTCAAGTTCGCATAAGTTATGCAGTGTTTCAAGTTCTGATAAAGACATTTCTTGAAAAATTCTACTTATTGCGTAGTCTAGTTTCATGTCTGGGTGAATGTCATAATGGATTGCGCCGAAATAATTGTTGTTCATCAGTTATAGTTCTTGTAAACGTGTACTGTCTTTGTCTTGTGGTTTAAATTTTCAACCAGTTCCTTCTGTGCTTTTTAGATGAATTTTCGTCATTAGTTGAAGCGTGAGGTGTTGCATAGTGTATGGTGATTGATTTATCTGTATTCATGTTCATGTTCGTTCATGTTGTATGGTGGTTGATTAGTGATGGTGATCTTGTATTAGTAGTTATCGCAAAAGCGTTTTTTGTTTTAATTCGGTTATTTTTAAGAGTCACTCACCCTTGAGTAACTCTTGTCAAAAATAAGAGTGTGGTCATAAAGCGTGGAAGTAGCACAGTGGGTTAGGCCGGCTATAGAGCATTCTCATGACGTTCTCTCTGGTGGGTTAGGCTAGGAGTGGAATATAATTTCATGCTCTCGTTTTGTCGAGTCTTTTC